CCGTGCACAATATGAAATCGATATGAGGCATTATGACTCTCGGATTGCCCAACTTTGCTGCAGACGAGAATAAGTACCAGACGACTTTATGCGTAATGATGTCATCGTTTAGCCTCCTCTAATGTGCGAGACAGGGGATAGTACAGTATGGGTCATCAATCCACAGGATGGCGTGTCATATCGTGAACCGTCAGAGCATACAGAGGATCAAATTTTAAGATATTGCGACTCAGTAGAATCCATCTTTCAATACATTTAATTTATTGATGTATCTGACCACTTAACATCTGTTCAACTCATGTCTAAACTCAATGAGCGCATCGACGTCGCACTCACAACTCGTCACAATGTCGACTATCATAGTTTGAGCGTTTACACTCTACGAATCACATGGATGATTTTCATCTTGTTGGCTTTGCGCTATACAGCACTTGACTGCAGTGCAAAGTGGTTCTATCTCGCTCTAGATAGACAGCAACCCTTAGTTGTAATAGTGCCAAGCTGACCTGGGACCCTGAGTGCAACCACAAGGAATTACCCGCGCTGTAACTGGCGAATGTGCTCCAGACTACGCAGGTTATGGTACGGCTTAGACTCAATTAAGTTATATCAACTCATCTTGCATATAGTCACACTTATATTACTTAATACGTCCATCATAACACGAAACTATTCTCTGCTACTACCTCTCACTGATATTACCTCATCTCACTTATACATCTACCTCTCTCGCTCTGGCCGTCTCGTGTGCTCACTTTCTCTCTTGACTAGCGTATTATTATAGTTTATATGTACATATATTAATATATATATATATATATTATATTAATATAGTAATAGTAATCAGTATATTCAAATTAATAGTTAAAATTATAATATAATACCTCATAACTAATACGCTTACAAAGTAAAATTTATTGAACACCTCATCAACTTTTGCTCCATACCAATAGAACCTCACGGCCTTCATAGTGTTAGGTCGTAACAACCAACTGATACAACAAGACTATAGCATCCTAAATTGTAAAACGATGATAGTACCATTAAATAAACATACTGTAGGTGCTCAAAAATTATTATATTTCTGACGTCTAATATTTATCGAGTTGTGTCGTTTTGAACTGTTAAGTCAGAGATGACGTCATATATTTTGGAATAATTTGAATGTAAAAGTCATGCACTGATTTGGCATATCTATTGGAGAATATTAACAAATAAACCATTATTACGCTATTGATGTTTCTATAACTCTTGCAACTCATTATTCCACATACTCATTATAATTATAATGCGCTTTTTGCTTATAATTTCAAATATATACCACGGAACGATTAACCACGTCTATACTCCGCTATGTTGATATTGCCATAAACTGATTTAGCGCGTTTTAAGTGCGAACACGGAATCGGGCGTCTATACTCGCAATATTCTATGTATGACGTTCACGGCTACAATTCAATTGCGAAAGTTCGCGCTGGCAATGAAAAGAGACGATAAATTAAATTTAAAGATTGTAGTTCAACTACCTACATTAAGAGCTTTCATTTGATACCAATATTGCCATTTATTGTGGTAATTCACAGTAACTGCCTAACTGACACATACATATATGGCGGCCATTTTGAAGAAAGGGCGACACGCCCCTTTAGTGGTCCGATTTTTTTGGGGTCCACCCCTAAATAAGTTTGTAATAGGTCAAAGAGCATATGTGCAAAGTTTGGTGCTTTCTTCAAAAAGTGAACACTTTATGTGCTAAGAAGCTGTACTATTACTGGGGTCTGCGTCGGCTCGGACTAGGTTTGTCTTAGGCCAAAACAAAATATATGTGTGGTTACCGTTACATGCCGAAAAAAAATAGGGTAGGTAGGTAGGGAAAACATTTTATTTTCTTGAAATATTTTATTTACGAACCATGTCCGAAGGATGTGCGTTGTGCCTTTTGAAGCAAGAACTGAAAAACATTTTAATTAAAAAAACAATTAACTTTTTTAAATTTTTTAAACTGAATAAAATGTTTAGGGTCGCTGGGAATAAATAGGGTCGGTCGGGAAACCGTAACCACACCTATATTTTGTTTTGGCCTAAGACAAACCTAGTCCGAGCCGACGCAGACCCCAGTAATGGGTACAACCCGTAATGGATAAACCCGCACCCTCAGATTAGCAAAGCGGAGTTATAACGTCTGCATTTGCGGACTAAGACAAACCGTGCTATCTGCGTATGGAGGGTTAAAACTTCACACGGTTTCACGTGTAGTTTCGCGTAGTGTTTCTCGGGCAACACATGTGCTTCAGCACCTGTGTCAATTTTGAATTTTATTGGTTTCTTACAAGTTACTGCATTCCAATTTAAGTTCTGTGCGCCATCCATCGTTAGTGCTCTGTACTTGTCCTACCTCAACATGCACTGACCCGATGAAGAGAGTCTGTACTGGCAAATCTTCTTCCAACGCGTGAATTTTACCGTGCCCGTATTGCTTCCGGTTGCTAGCACCACGACACATACAGAGTTCTCCAAGATAGTTAATAAGAGCCCTTATTCTCCAATAAGAGCACTTATAGCCTGGCGGCTCGCCAGGCTATCGTCGAGCCCCGCCATCCTAAAATGCACCTGCCACTCTAAAAATCATAGCCGCCATGCTAAATATCATAGCCCCAGACCCCCCTAGCACGCAAACCGCCTTCGGCGATTTACAACTAGGACCGTAAAGGCAGCACCCGCACTGCTATATAATGAAAAAGCTTGGAGAACCCTGATATATTAGCGAAGTGATTTTTCTTCTTATATCTTCTTCATTCAGTTATGACAGTCCTGTCCGTACGCGGGACATTCGTCTTTGCCGTGTGTATTACCAGTTCCTGCAGTTGAATTTTGATGCAGCTTGTAGCTTAGGTTTGTGGTGAAACTTCCCTGTCTGGGACTTAGCCTGGGGCTGACGGTATTTTAATTTCTGTCCCTTGCTCGATACGGCATTAATGCTCGCGGTAGCAACGTTATCTATTTCTCTGAGCTGTCTGGCGCTCGCCTCGGCGGCCCTGCATAACTCATTGA